CTACATTTAAATTTACTAAGCCGTAAATGTTCGTAATTATTACTCCTACGTAATACTCCGAAATTCTATAGCATAAAATTTCATAATTATTACCCCTACGTAATACTCTGAACTAATCGTAAGTTTTTCGTAAGTTTACGCTTACGTAAAAACTTACAGAGGTTTACGTATATTTTTTTTTGCTGATATAAAAGATGTGTCAGTAGTATTGTTGTGAAAGAGAGTAGATTTGCTAGGGCTTACAGTTATTTTGGCCATTTGGTAGAAGGAGGATATGATACTGAGTATTTTGTTAAAATGATGTTCGGTTTGAGGAAATTCATGTAGTGTCGTCTATGTAAGCGATTACGTTTGTAGTAATCATATGAGTTTGGGTAGAGTTTGGTACAATAGTAGAGGCAGTGTAACCTAGTGTAGATTTGGAGATACGGCTAATAAGAAGATCGTAGTATATGCGCCAGAGTATTGGGAAAATTGGTTTGCTCTAATCAATGCCATATTTGACGTTGTAGGGTAGTGTTTTGCCAATGGAAGTAATAACTTGGTTTTGTTTTGTAGAGAAAATATAAACTATGAGGTTTATGTGGGGTGGCATGCCAATTCTAAAGAGGGCTTTGCTTAAGAGTGGTATATACACGGTATCATAGGCTTTGGACATATCTTGCGATAGTATCCAAAGTTCTTTCTTGTTTATATGTACATCTTCACGTAAATAAGTAATGTATTGGATCGGTTATAGTGTGGAGGTAAGTGGGAGTTCTACATTATTTGTAGGATCAAGCAGATCATTGCATACGAGAATAGAATTGATGTGAGTAGTTAGAATTTTAGTGAAGATTTTTCGGATATATTATAGAGCGAGTCTTGGAGAGGTCCCTTGGTTGGTATCCTATCTTCGATATAGACCTAACTAGACCTTTATGCCATAATAAAGGAGTTGTTTGTAGATTGATACAGGCATTGAAGATCTTGGCTAATGATAGAATTGCTATGTGAGGGAGCTTCTTGAGCATTTCATTTGAGATTAATAAGGGCTAGTTGCTTTGTTGTTGGGTGCTGTGGTTATTGTTGCCTGAACTTCATCTACTTCAATTGGTTTTAACAATGGTGCATATGTAGTGGGTGTAACTTGAGGTAGTGTTTTATAGTAATGTTTTTATTCTATCCAAAGGTTGGGGTCAAATGGGTTAAGTTGGGTCCAGCGGCAAAAGTGCTGTGATATTTCTTGTTTAATTTTCTGGGGGTTAGTGATTATTGTAGTTGGTGTAGTGATGTTGTGAAAGGTGATGGGGGATTGGTGCCGGTATAAGATACTTTCAATCATCTTGGTTGTGTTGCTTTGAAAGTTGGAGTAGCGTTTGTTCGTAAAATATTGGATTTTCTCTCTTTTTTGGGTGTTATTCTCGGTATTTCTTGCAGTGTATAAAGTTGCACAGAGCTGTTTGAGATATGTTTTTGTATGGGTGTAGAAGCTGTATTCCAAGTTGTTGAGTTGAAGGTGTTGGTTGGTAGCTTGAGTAAGCACATTAATTTTGTCGAAAATGCTATTAACAGAAGTAATGATATGTTGAATATGAAATGGGATAGGTCAATTAATTATATTAAAGATGTAATTAATATGTTTTAGTGCTTGATGTAAAGAGCTAGCTTTAAAGGAGTGAGCGTAGAAGATGCAGGAACTAGTGTAGGTATATGGCATAAATTTGTCGGCTGCTTGTTTAATAATATTGTTAAAATTGTTGAAGGTTTTGTTTAGTTGGTGTGTATTAGTAATTTGCTGGTGATAGTAAGCGGAAGCTGAAATGTGAGTTGAGATAAATCCAGCAAAATCCTTCCAGAGTTTGGAATTCATACAATCATAGTTATAAATTTTTCGGTACTGTTTTTTGAGCCAGGGCTGTTTGACTATAGGGTATGTGTGTTGTAAAGTGGTAAGTATTTGGTGGTCACTATCAGTAATGTTAGTAGAGTCAAGAATGTGGGGCATAGTGAATGGAGTACAATTTCTGGAGAGACCCATATATCATCTATTTGGCTTGACAACTGGTTCCGATTCTAGGTAAGTTGAGTGATCTGGTGTAGTTGTAATAGACTTATAAAACCGATAGATAAGAGGTGTTGGAGTAAGGGGCATTGTCTGTGGTAGTTGGGATGGTTAATATTGTAGTTAAAATCGTCAGCAATTACGAGGTTCATATTACAAGAGCGACCATCATTAACCCAGAAGATAATTTGTTGTTGGGCAGTATACAGTGATGGTGTTGTAGAAGATGGTAGATAGGTTGCTATAAGGCGTATCTTATTGTGTATAAGTCTATAAGAAGGGCAATACCCGGTATAGTGCTGATTTTATGGATATGTGGTTGGATTGATGGTTTTAAAGCTATTGTAACACCTTTACATGATTTGTGAATGTTTGTATTAGTTTGATCACAGTTTGATGTATAGATCTTGTAAAGTGGGTTAGTAAGTGCTATAAGGTTAGTAGATGCAGCTAGTTTTGTTTCTGTTAAAAAGGCTATATTTATTTTATTTGAATCACAGTATTCTAGTAGTAGTTGTAGTTTGAGTGACTAGTTGATCCCTTGGATATTGTGGTTAAGAATGTTGAAAGTTTGTTCAGTAAGGGAGATAAAGTTGTGATAGTCAGTATGAGGTGTCAAAGGAGGTATGTGGTTAGAAAGTAAGTTGTTAGTTTCTGATAGTTGATCGTATATGTTAGTGAATTCACTCATAAGGAACGTAGTTGTTAAAAAGTTCACATTTGGGTACAGGGAGTTCAAGGATATTAACGATGTGAGAAGGAACCTCTCTGAAGGTAAAGTGAGTATGTAAGAATGCAATAGCAGTTTCAACTTCTTGTTGGAAAGTAGCTGTTAGAGTAATTGGTTCAGGTGTAGATATATAATTAATTATAGCTCTGATTTCATTGAGTGTGGATAGTAGAGAGGGATGGTCTGTTTCTATTGAAGCCTACTGTAAGATGTTAATCCATTCAGCTGGGATTTGTCTGAAATAGTAGTGCTTTCTTAGGAGGTATATAGTGTTATAGAACGAATTAATTATTAGTTTATTATTTTATTATTTATTATTTATTAATTATTATCTTAGAAT